GACTTTTCTGCTATCGGTAACACAAATGTTCGATATTTTTACCTAACATTAGGTTTCATAAGCAAGGCATAACATGTACCGGCTGTGATAATGTGTTGTGATATTGATACTGATGCCTGTCAAGGAACTGTATCTAATTTCTCGTTTGCGTGCGTTTCCAGTTTTGTTAATAACAAATTTGGATTTCTCTGGCTATGCATACTGTACTTTATTATGCTGGTTGTTTGATTTGCTTCCGCTTAGTTTACATTTGCTACAAAAAAACTACACTCACGCAAGCCTTATGCCTCTAAGTTCATCTAAGCATGTTTTCAATTCGTGATTGTACAGGCCTGATTATAAGCTGTAGAGTAGATGCATTTAAGCTTCTTAGCCATGGGAAAGGAGGGGCAGGCGCTTCGGTTCATATATGAAATATTAAATCAGTATAATTTTGTGTTTATATATTTATTAATGTCACGATTATATTTATTTAGTATTTAGTAATGACTCTGTTATATCTCTTCTCTACCTGAAAGCCAGTGCTTATCAATTCCAGTTTCTTTGTACAGTCTTATCCAATGTCAATTTGTGCATTATATTAATCAGTCGCATTCTTTCCAGGAAACCGATACTATGCATGAAAATAATGACGTCCTAGTCGAGGCCAGTGACGTCATGTCCGACCCCACGACGATGGCGCCCGAAGAGGAGGTGGAACGGGTGAGCAATTTTGGCAAGGGGCAGGGAAGAAACGGGTCTGCTTGGGAAGATAGACGGGAAGGCGAGGGAAGAGGGAGCGCCGAAGCATAAATGTAAAATATATCATGCAGGAAAACTGGATAGAAAAGAAACAGAAAAGTGGATTATGAAAAAAGGAAGAGAAAAAGAGAGATTACTAGATGCGAGAAGCATGGAAAGGCGGGAGAGATTAAGTTTCATGAAGAAAATCAATGATGGGATCAATTAATCAGGAATTCGATTTTGTTTAATTAAGTAATTTAACTTGACTGACATTATATTAAGGAATCCTACAGTGTTCTAATAACGGGCTCTTATAGCCTGTTCCACGAAATCTGACATAAAAGTAGAAAAGCAAAATCTCATTAAAAAATGCGTGATTTGTGACGAAAATCGAATATCACCTGTTTTTCATTATATCATTATCTGATGACAAATACCAAGCAAAGCCAAAAATCCGATGGAGCCACTTTGAGAAAAGTAATTTTATCATTAAGTATGAAATAAAACCGCAGCCACAATAAGAAGTGATTACTAAAACGTGACGTTTCGAACCATACCATCCCATCATCAGATAACAGGAATGGAAATGGATCCTGTTTTATATGTAGGATTCCTCTCTTATGCTGCAGTGTTCCATTTCAACATTGTTGATTTGTTGCTGTACTTGTAGTTTTGCTTGTTATCAAATGTGTTCACTGAAATTGTTAATTTTTGCTGTCACTCGAACGTCAGTCAGTTTCCCTCCAACGCCGCAGTGATCAACTCGGCACAGAGCAGCTCTGAGTTCTGCAGCTGCTGCTTTGGCCTTATGCACCCTATTCCAAATTAGGGTTAGGAAAATGTAATTGTCGACATTCCATAATTAGGCATCAGTTTCATAATACTTATTCTATAATACTGCATGATGATACACTTATAAAGTCACTCAGAGGACTGGATTGCGTTATCGTAGACACTGATTATTTGGATTTGACGTTTAATATAATTGTTTTGGCCGAGTTATTAAGATTATCTGCACCATGTTTGTAAGAGGTTCAACAAAAATCATTTGCCGTCCACTTCAAAAAAGTGTCGAGAGTAGAACTTCCCACAAGCATCCTCTTGGTGACTTTTAGGGTTGCAGAAGCTAAGGTCTGATAAGGATGAGAAAATCAACTTCACGTGTACAGTAGTTCGTCGAGATGATTCATGTGTGAAAAGGATGACGCTAATAATAACAGTAATAACTATAGTTAGTAATAATCAATGAATAGTACGGCAATGTAAGTGGGAATAAGTGGTGAAAAAGATAATAATGTTGAATTATAAAGTACTACCATTGCTGTCATTCTGATAATACAAATAATAACGATAACAATAAAAAACATATTGGTGATCAATAAAGCTATAGTATTGCTAGGAAACATTTTGAAATTAATAGTTTACTTATGATTTTTTTTCTATTTTTTTCACAGGATACGGCGACGGAGAGTTTTCTAGCAACCGAGGAGAATGAAGCTCTTTAGTTCCGGAAAAAAAAACACTCTTTCAGGGCAAGACGGAAGGGAAAGGTGTTGGGGGGGGGGGGGAGTAGGTGTATGACTTTCACGCACTACCTAGGCCTATCGTGTCTCTTGAAGGCCCTTTAGTCACAATGTGGGTGGATATTTTCGTCAGGGTCTCATGTGTTTTAGTGATATTAAAACATGCAGACTGTAAGATATCGTGAAATTTCATTCGGTGGGTAGTACAAAGTAAGGTGGTCTTGTCTGTGGGGTTAAGGGATGATGAGTATAAATGTGTTGATTTTTCTCAACCTCTTGTAAGTTGCACTATTCCCTTCAAACTTCATATGATGAATACCTGATACCGTGCTGATTATTTATGGATTTTTTTTTTTTCTTACTAAATAGGTTTTCTTTTCACGATATAGGGCTTTATCACAGGGTCTTATTTTATGTATACACAAAGCTTGATGTAAAACGCGTTTAGTATAAAATTTCTGTTATTAGTAGGACAACCGAAGACAAAGGGTTATGATTGAGAGAGAGAGAGAGAGAGGGAGAGAGAGAGAGAGAGAGAGAGAGAGAGAGAAAGAGAAGAGAGAGAGAGAGAGAGAGAGAGAGAGAGAGAGAGAGAGAGAGAGAGAGAGAGAGGGAAGAAGAGAGAAAGAGAAAGAAAGGGAGATAATACTCTTGCATGTCAAGGTTCTTCCCAGATTGACATTGGCTTTTGGGCAAGAACTTCCCATTTCATTTTTTATTTTTATCAGTATGCTTTATACTCTACATGCTTACATATTTTTTTATAACACCTCCGTACGTTATGCCCCCTTATACAGTATTTTAAGTATGTTATTACCTAAGATTTTCTAATAAAAAAGAAAGAAAATAATTTCAGAATGTTTAATTTCTATAAATACCTAAAAATAAAAAATAAACCTTTTTATCAATATGAAAAAGTTTAGACAAACTCGGGTTATGTTCCATCCTTCTGTATAAATCTAGTTCTAAATGCGAAAAATGAAAAAAAAAGTATTTATAGCTAACTTCACTTTATTAATTGAAGCTAAAGTAAATAAACGACACAGAGTAAGTTAAAGAAACAGATACTGCACAGATTACAGCAACCACGCTTGACTTCCTGATAAAGTGATAGTACACTATTTTTCAAGTTAGCATTACCGTCCCTTTAAGCGTGGAAAGAATGCATCTCAAACCTGAAGGTCTAACTTGGATTAGCAACGTTTTCCTTAAGAGAGAGAAAAAAAATCAAAACTACATTGTTACGTCACTTGCCATATCCTAGGATGACCTGGCTAGAATGTCGAGGGACCTTTTCCCAAATGAAGTGTGTCATGACCCTTCATGGGGTATCATTCACTCGAGATCACTGATATGGATAACATGGACATTTGCTATGGAGGAGACCCTAGGTATGTGATGGGATTTAGACAACGGTGGCCATAGTTAGTATAGTCTGTCTGGTCTGGTGATAGGCCTCTTGTTGGTATAGGCATTGCCATCCCCGTCGACCCTTCCCTTTAGTTAAGAGATAGTTAAGTAGTTGAAATAGGCTGCGGACTGTAAGCCGAGTGATAAGGATAAGGATAAGCCAGATATGCGAAGCTGAACCTCGCCCGGGCTCTGCCTAGGAAGGGAGCCCGGGATATGTCGATTAATGCCGAGACGATTCGAGTTTGTCACAGCTGTTGCTTACCCACCGTGGTGCCCAGCCACGACAGAAACCACCAGGCGACAATTGCAACTTCTCGTGCCTGGGCGAGGCACAAACCGCCGACCACTCAGATGAGAAGCCGACACGTTAGCACTGCACTAGGCCGGAGGCTTGGACCGAGTGGTTGTGGCTGAAGAAAACGACTTGGGCGATTGGTCTGCTGCTGTTACTAACTTACGCCACGGTGGTGCCTCTGACCTTCCAAAGTACGAGGGATGGACATGCATTAAACTGAAATGTTTATGACGCCTAGAAGGATTTACAGAAAAAAACAAACATGATGCTTTGTATTTGTTCTGTCTCGCTGCTACAAATGGAGCTTTTGATACCGGGGGCATTTGCGAGTTACATAAAGATAAAGAAGTAAGATAGAGCCTCAATGCACTTTTCGTAATATGCAGCGAGAGATATGTGCATCTGTATGATGGGTCAACTGATATCCACCGCAAGATTCACAAGTATAGCAGTTGTGAATTACTGATATATATGAAAACACCTTAGAGCATAACAAGTATGAGAGTATCGGCTGCATTTCTAAGGCTAGTGGAATAGAGAAATGCCAAGCTCGATTCGCTGACAGACTACTGAATTTTCTTGGTGATTAGTAAAAAATCATATTCTTTAAAACACACACACACACACACACACATACACACATATACACATATATATACACATGGACCAATGATCTTGCCCAATAATTCAGGAAGACTACAAAAGATAGTGTTAAAATGTTTTAGCATCCACAAGCGGCTTTCTATAAAGTGCAGTGTTTATGAAACTGTAATCTTCTCTAACACCGACTCCAGTAACTCACGGCGGGACAGCTAGACGATCACTGAGGGACAATGTTATACAGTATCAAATCTGACAGATAGGGACAGGGAGCATATACTAAGGCTAAAAATCATGAAATCTGACTCTGGTTCTCTGAAATAGGTGAACTCTAGACCAGTAGTCATTCGGGGTCTTCTCTACAATTAATACTTGGCAGGTGCTCTGTGGATGAGTGAAGATTCAACAGATTCTATTATTTCGAGTAACTCTTCTTAATAAACAGACATGTAGAGAAACAGAATGTAAGGTTGCAGGCCTACTGATGTGAGAACGGTATTGATCAAGTTGGTGAATGCAAAATATGCTTAGCTTTATAGCATCTCTGGAAAGTTATCCGAAGACAGACAATATCCTCGTTGATGCTGTGTACCGTTATCTGCCCGCAGCTTGGAGTATAAGGGTGCTACCTCAGGTAAAAAAAAAAGAAAAAAAAAACTGTTCGGATATCATTGCTTTGACAATTTTCCTCCATTTCTGTGCGGAAATCGTGAGCATCTATAAGAATAATTCTTCATTCCATATAATAATTGCATAACCCCATCTCCTCTTCTAAACACGCACGCACGGCAGAACCAGATATGTTGCGAAGGATAAAGAGTCAATGATAGAAAGAAAAGAGATGAAACAGATAGAAAAAAGGGGACTAATATAAGTCTTTCGTTTCCAAGGACTGGAAACAAAACTGCCAGTAAAGTTTAGGGTCTACAATTTCACTGCAAGACCGTTTCCCATGTATACTCATAATTGCTGAACTGCCATTACTTTTGCTATATATATTTTCCGCATCTATTGACGATGATATCTAACAGGAAGGGGTAGTACTTGTATGCATCAGTCTAGAAACCTTAAAACAATCAAGGAACAAATGTATATAACAGCATCTTCTGACCTCAAGATTCATCTGGACTCTTGTTGACATTCATGCTGAAACTGTAGCACGAGCCTTTATTGCTGGTTGGGTATCAAGATTTGGAGTACCAACCAATTTAACATCAGGCAGGGGAAGTCAGTTTGATTCGCAACTTTGAAACAAACTTATGACTTTGCTTGGAATTCGACGTTATTACACTTCATGTTACCATCCCCAAGCAAACAGGTCTCGTCGAACGCTTTCATCGTCAGCTGAAATCATCACTCACGGCTCATCAACATGAAGATAGGACTACTTCTCTCCCTCTTGTGCTTTTAGGCATCAGGAGCTCCCTCAAATCAGACCTTGGCTTCACTTCTACAGTCCGACTGGTGAATCACTCTGTAGTTCCACTAGCCTTATTACCGACTCTACTCAGGATTTTGCAGCCAAGCTCAGGAATGTGATGTCCAAGCTTCGCCCTGTTCAGCCACGGCAGCCGTCTTCAAACAAGTATTTCGTAAGCCAGGATCTTCATGACTGTACCCATGTGTTCGTCCGAGTGGATTCCATCCGACGTCCACTACAGCCGCCCTATGAAGGTCCATCTGAATTTCTTAGGCGCACGAGGAAGACTGTTACCATCAACCGCAATGGGACTTCTGGCGCAGTCGCCATCGATCGTGTTAAACAAGCTCACTTGCAAGATGTACCTAACTACCTCGCAAACCATAGCCATCCTCTGCATGTTCAACCAAAAAAAATCTGTATCGTTCCTCCTTACCCGTCACTAGGAGGGGGGGTAATGTAGTAATATCGTAGTCTCCCCAGAAATGTAGTTATATTATAGTCTCCCCTGAAAATTGCCTTGAAACGATTTTCTAGTTTACTTTTATTTATTTATTTCTCATACTATAAATTTATCGATATGTACACACACACACACACACACACACACACACACACACACACACACACACACACACACACACACACACACACACACATATATATATGTTTACATGCATACATGTATATATATTTATAAATACATTTATATGTGTAGCGTCGTCGTCTGGTCGTGTATGCCCGACGCGCTATTAATATACAGAAATGGTCTACGTTAAAACAGGAGGGTAGCTCTGGCCGCTCGATTTCAACTCTGTTTATAAGTGTTAATATATCTGCTCATGCTCATTATACAGATTCATATGTTCATGTGTATATGCCTTATCTCATTGTAAATATAATTATATGCTTTGTTGGTTAATCTCTATTTTAAAAAGCTGACTGGCTGGACTGTAGCATAGGGTTAAAATACTTAATTATCAGTTAACAATTTATTAAATTATCGTAAGTTACAAAACATTTATATTTCACTCGTGCCACAAGAAAATGCTCTTTGCCGTTCTTTCGAACTTGCGCCAACACCACCACAAAATACGGAGAAAAATACTCATCTTTATATTATTTTAAATAAATCCAGGGGGGGGGGGGGGTCAACGAGAGCCAGTCGTGAGCGTGAGCGTGAACTCTCGCGCCCTTGAAAAATCGCTGCAAGGGGGCACGACCTAGAACGGCTCTGATTGGCTGGGACTACACGCCCGTTAACCTGATTGGTCTATACATAATTCGGGGGTATATCTTTTAGATATAAAATCAAGTAGCAAAGAGTACTAAAAAGTAATACAGAAAAATGTGGCAATAAAATAAGCATCTTATAAAACATCTAGGAAAATAGATAAAAACATTAATAGAAAGAAAAATAAAAACTATTCCAGAAAATAAAATAGTATATGCTTAAAACAAAAAGGAAATGTAATGTACTTCGTAACAGAGAACGGACGTTTTAGGCGGTATTCGTGTACACTCATGCGAGTATATATGTTCGTATATAATATATATAAATTACAAGCCAGGTGGACTTCAGGGTACACTACAATATGAATGTATATGTATATATGTATATACATACACATATATACATATACATATTTATACATACATATATATGTGTGTGTGAATGTGTATGTATATATACATATATATGTATGTATAAATGTGTGTATGTATATATATATACATACACATGTGTATATATATATTTATATATGTGTGTGTATACATATGCATATACACATAAGCCCACAATAAAATATATATATATATATATATATATATATATATATATATATATATATATATATATATATATATATATACACACACACACACACACACACACATATATATATATATATATATATATATATATATATATATATATATATATATATACATATATATATATATATATATATATATATATATATATATATATATATATATATATATACACACACACACACACACACACACACACACACACACACACACATATGTGTCTGTGTGTGTGCACAAAAACACACAATAAATGCACATATATACATTTATATACGTGTATATATAT